GCACAACAGTCTCTGAAAAATTGAAAATAAGTATCACTCTGAGATCCATGATGGATCAGAACAGACTGCAGTATATCACCAGAGAGGCACTTAAACAAAGAACAGGAAGGGGTAAAATCATTCAGAAAATATTAAATAAAGAAATGCTTGGTCATATGCTTCGTCATAAATGAAGAATAACAGATGGGTGACCTAAGCATTTCACTAGTATTTTCACAATATCAAGAGATAGCAAGAAATGTCTCCAGGACCTAGTATGGACCCTTCCCCCCCAGAGGAGGATCTTTGTTGTTGGAGGGAATGTCCAAATTGACAAAGTCTCAGATCCATTTGAATCTCCTTCATCTCTGGAGAAGAGGGAGTAATTCTTCATTTCTCTCAAGAATCAGCTGATTATAACCTTCTTGATGCTTTCCATCATTCCCCCAGTTCTGAATATTCAGCACCCTCTTTTCATCTTTGATGGCACTGTCTGCCTTGAATTTAACAATGTTCTAACCTATACTGTAGTTGTTTGTGTGTGTGTGTGTGTGTGATTCCCTGTCTCCTCCCCAGCCCCCAGATTATAAATTCCTTGAGGGTAGGGACTATCATTTTTCATGTCTATAATCTGCATCTTAAACAAGGTAGTAGTATAATATATATTTACTGAATTGAACAGCTTTGTGAGTGAAATAGTATATTGTGACCCCCATTTTCTGGACAAGGAATCAAGCTCAAAATGGTTTAAAAAATAGCTTTCTCAAAGGTCTAACTGCTAATAATCCAACCCTGAATCTCATTTAGAACTAGAATTCAGAGTTGGAAATCCAGTTCAGAGCTTAAAGCTCTTTCCTTTATGCCACAGTGCCTTTCATACCAAAATGGCTTTATGAGTATCAACTCCCACCAGGGTGACCTGTGGCCTTGAGGCCATTAATAAAAGGATTTGTTCTGTAAAACTTGGACTGCATCAAAAAGCTGCACCCAAGGACCTAGAGGACCACACGTGGCCTCGAGGCTGCAAGTTCCTCACCCCTGTGTAACTTGGGGAGCTCTAAGATGTTACCATAGAATAGCAATTTAGGGACTGAACAGTTGGGAATTGCCTTCATAACCTTATAGCACATGATATTGAATATCTTCGATAGTGATAAATATTCATCCTTTGAGGACATATTTGGTTTTTGGAAAAAGTGAAAAGTTATTCCAAGCCAAGTGCAGTAAATGAGTGCCTTCTTTCTCTAACTACTTTGTATTTATTCTCTTTATGTTTGTTCTTTGTATATTTATATATATATATATATATATATATATATATATATATATATATATATACCTATTGTCTCTCCCATTAGAAGGTAAACTCTCAAAGTAGGGATTGTTTGTTTCTTTGAACTTTTGTTTCTAGCACTTCCTATGGTGCCTGACTCCTAGTTGATACTTAAGAAATGCTTATGGATTGAATGATTGATGCTCGAGCTTTGTTATCCCTGGGTGAGACCAAAAACAGGGTAGAATTCTAAAGTCATGGAACTGTCCTTACTAAGTTTGGTTGGGATTTTTATTGATTTGTTTGTTTTTTAATCTGGCTAATAAACTGACATTGGAGACCATTTAAAAAGATTTCTTGTGCCAGTGTTTTGGACATTGAAATGAATGTATGCTCCAACTTTGAGGATGTTACTCATTTACATCGTTTAGTGTTGTTGTTGTTGTTTTTAACCAGTTTTACTACTTGATAATGACTCTTGGTACGATAAGAAGTGTAACTGTTCATCAAATAATGGACTCTGTAATTATACTTGATGACTACCCATTTACTCACCCGCCGCTGCCGCCTCTCCAGTTATTTGAAACAGACAGATGATTTTGGAAGTTTTTATCTCGTTCATCAGGTGACAGCAGGTTTTCAGTTGCAACATGTAGGAAAATCTTCCTGAAGAGAAAGGTGCTGTACCCTCTAAGAAGGAAGCATCTGCTTCTCCTTCTGAGTAACAATGATAGGCCACAGGCACTGTCAGGTGAGAAATTTATTCTTTAAGGATCCAGAGAAGAGGAGACTTGTTAGATGTGATCCTTTGTTCTGAGGGAGGGGTGGAGAACAGGCTGGCTCAAGGACATGTGTGGCCCTCTAGGTCCTTAAGTGCGGCCCTTTGACTGAATCCAAACTTCACAGAACAAATCCTCTTAATAAAAGGATTTGTCCTGTGAAACTTGGATTCAGTCAAAAGGCCTAACCCAAGAACCTAGAAGGCCACCCATGGCCTCGAGGCTGAAGGTTCCCCACCCTTGCTCTAAGCAGTATTGAGGCAACTTTTTTGACAGAGAGGTATGCTGCTGTTCTGGCTCATGTATCAGAGATATTACAGCAACCACTGCCAAGCCTTGCCAAACAGATGACTAAGGCTAAGGTAATGTAGAAATTAAGGGAGCCTTGGAGAAAAAGTGACTACTGTATTCTGTGTTAGAACTTATCACAGAAAAGGAGAGAAAATTGAAGCATAGACTGACATGAACCCTGGATTTCAAGAACGTAAATTTCAAAGGGTTTAGTGAAAGGATAGGTAGGATCTCATGGACTTATATTCTATAGGGAAAGTCAGTACAAGAAGGGTAGAGAGCTTTCAAGAACAAAAAAATTCTGAAGACAAATACAGTGAGGAAAGAAGGGAAGACTTGTCTAATTAGACTGTAGAACAGGGACTATTTGGGGCCTTTCTTTGTGATCCTAGCACTTAGTACAGTGCCTGGAACATAGTAGATGCTTAATAAATGTTAACTGACTGACACCTCCCCTCCCCCCCCAAAAAAAAGTTGTGGAGTCATAGGAAACTCAACTTAGTTTTCCAAGTACAGTCTCAGAAAAATGTTGTTAGCTATAAATCTCAGACTAAGTTGAGGCTGATGGGAAAAGGCTAATGACAGCAAATAGGGTGGTTGTTGTTTGGGACTTTGTTAGATTTTTGGGCAAAGAGAAGGCACAAAAAAGGGATAGGATCATTGCAGTGGTAGATCGATGATGAAGAGGCAACAGTGAAAACAGCTACTCAACCCTTATTTTGCTTCCCTTTTCTCTGTCAAGGAGAGAATGTAAGGACAGGAAAGTAAGGAGCAAAAATGACTAATAGGAAATTGATACCCAGGTTAAGTAGATAGAGAATACTGAATTCAAGCCACCAGGCTCAGATGAAACTTGGATGTTGAAACAACAGGCAGATGTGATTATGGAGAGTAAAAGAGATGCATGCTATTAAAAGAAAGGCAAGCATCCTGATTTTCACACAGAGGGAAGTTGGATTTACATGCTATAAGCCAGGGAGCTTGACTTTTATTCCTAGCAGAATCTTAGAACATGATTAAAGGGAGAATTGGTGAACATCTACAAATGTAAGTGGGGGTCACAAGACTATGAAGAATTCCTCTTGCTTCTTGGTTGGTCAACTGTAGTTGTAGAATGAAGCGTACTCCATCACAGATGGTCGGTGTGTTTTGTTTTGCTTAACAGAACTTCTTTGTTAAGAGGGAGGGTTGATCATTGGCAAGTGGTAACTGTGTTTTGTTTTAAGAACATCAATCAACTATTCTCAAAAAAAAAAAAAAACCAGTCAGATTGAAATAATTTTCCTTTTTTTTCAGATTTTCTAGACTGGTAGAACGAGGACTTTGTGTGTGTGTGTGTGTGTGTGTGTGTGTGTGTGTGTGTGTGTGTGT